TTTCTTTTCTTCGCGATACAAATAGTAATTCATTAATAATCATAATTGGCAATGCAGTCGCTATAAAATCATATAAAATATAGTAATATAAAATTTAACTGCATAATTAAACGATTTCTTTTCAGGCCCCATGGTCACGATGTAAAAATAAAACGCTCCAGCTATTATGACCCGGCATTAAAATCTCCTGACGTCACATCTCTCCCCGGCATCGATATTACTTTCCGATGATGCCAGTAAACTATCTGATGGTTCCTTAATCATCTTTAATCGAGCATACTAAATTTGGTATGTATATTTATATGCATTTGACATACGATAATTAATGATTTAAAAGTAGCTCTCGGCTTAGCCCCTTTCCTATTAATTGGGTATTATTTGACAAAGCAGATTTTTAGAATATTTGATTATTAATTGTGTAAATATGCGATGACTCTCTCTCTCTCCCTCTCTGTCTTTTCAAATAATTTATACTGCGAAGGATTTCTCTAATTAGTGCAAAGAGTATTCATGCAAATCTTTTACATGTAATTAATTGCAATAAAATCACGTATCTGAAAATTCAACATTGCATATCTTTTAAATCGACAAAAAAATTTCTTTCCTTCAAAGCATATCATCGCATCGGCACGTAAAAATTCATATTGGTATTACGGGAATCGCGGAAGTTATTGTTTTGTAACATGAAGAGAGAGAGAGAAAGAGAGATGCCAATGGAACAATTTCATCACGACGATGCGACGTGGCATCTCTCTCCTCTTTTTTATCTCTCTCTTTCTCTTTCTCTCTTATCGCACGATAGTCCTTGAGGTTCTCCAGACCGAAAGAGGAGGGAATCGTGCACCGAGCTGCTCTACGCGTTGTATGCGAGTTTTGACCTTGTGGCATTTGGTACCTGTCCGTACCAGCCGACTCGCGCATACAACTCCACACCCAATCCCACAAGAGCAAAATAACTAAGCTATACCGTCTCCTTCCCTCGTTCGAATCCGTCTCCCTCCCTCTCCCACCCGCTCGTGCCTCGCTCTCTTCTTCCTTCTCACCTTTCCTCTATCCGCTCGCTCGCGCAGCTCGCGCGCACGCGCGTACATCGCCGGGTCTTAATGGCGATGTAACGGGGACGTCAACTACACGACGCGATAATGACGAAGTTTGATATCGCGCGTCGCAAAATTGCGTCTTGACCTTTTCATTTCGCCGAAGACATTGATATTGCATTTCTCTTAAAAAATTAATTATTTATTCCAAACATTGATTTTTTGCATTTTCTTTAAGGAATTAATTATTTAATTATTTATTCGGTTTCTCGCGCGCGTATATTATATTTAATAGTACAATCATTAACTAGATAAAAAATTGCGAGTTATTGACCACCTTTAATATGAAGAAGAAAGATATTATTTTATAATATAATATAATATGTAATATTAAGGTATTTTTTTATATTATTTAGATAGATATTTTTTATATTATTAATATACAATATAATTTTAATGTACAGTATAAAGATATTTAGTTTCTCTTCCTCAAAAGATAATTTACTCTTTTTCCCTCCTCGAAATAACGCTTTTGATAGGTTTCATATTGACAGTCGGACAAAATCGAAAGGCAACATCGAGAATAAAAACAAAGCAATCTCTGATGAATAAAGTACATCGAAAAAAACCTAACTGTATCTATTATGTAAAAAAATATATAAGAGAATGCTAAAGAAATATTTAGAATAATATGTCAAATTAGACAAATTTAAAATTGAAAAATTTTAATAGAGAACATTTTTTCAGAAAAATTGTCTTCAATTGCAAATTCGAAATAATATATATTTTAATCAATACACTGACAATTGCTAAGGAACAATTTCTCATAGAGCAATAATCTATTCTCTAGCATTTGATAATTTTTCTCTCTTTTTCTCTCTCTCGTATAAAATCTCAAATTATAAATTTCTTATAATAAAATTACTCATTTACGTAATAAACATTTTGTTTTCAATCGTTTAATTTAAAAATATTCTTAAAATTTGAATTTTTTATAAATAATTTAATAATTTATCAATTTTATTATTGATAATTAAAAATTTAAACTAAATTTTATTAAATAAAAAAATTTTTAAATTAATAAAAATTTTAAAGTAATAAAGATTAAATTAGTATTAATACTAAAATATTAAATTAAATTAAAATAATTAAGAAATTTATTAAAGGAATTAGACAAGTAAAGTTATATAAGTGATAATTTAAACAAAAATCATTTTTAAATTTCTTAAAGAACAGATAAAAAATCGCTCGTTACAGGACATCCGATATAGCATATAAACACTCTTGTATCTAGATTCTCTAACAGACGCAATTTTGCGATTCTACTGTTGTCAGGCCGAGGATCGTGGAGGTGGATTCTCGAGCGATTTGGAGACGGCTGAATATCTCGGTGAAGACGCAGGAGACGTCGCCATCAGCGCGAGCCGGGCGTATTTACGTCGCGGGACAATGGAAAAGGTCGCAGGCTGTGGCATTTGCGGCGTTCGTCGCTAATAAACGTGTTCGCGAGAAAATGCGCAACGTATATTGGGCTCTGGCATAGTCGTGAACGGACCTCTCCGCAAAGTGCGGAGCGTGAAATTCCCCGCTTCGAAGGAACAGTCTGCTCTACGAGTGACTGTCACGCTCATCTCGATGGTATTTCAGCGCACGACACATACACAGAGTACTGTACGATTAACCCAACAACCCTAATCTGCGCTCGCGATAAAGATACATTACGCGCGTAAATTATTTTCATTATTTTAATCATAAGTCTGGATCGACGATTAACCTTTTTTTCAGAACAACGAATGACGGAGCATATGACATTCTGATAAAGTAATTCTCTGGCATCTGAGCTTACTCGAAAATTATAGAAATCTAAGAACTTTGAAATATAATTATAATAATAATTTGAAAATGCCAAGAATCTCCAGGGTGTGTAGAGGAATTTAACGAAGTCTGACAAACGACACGAGATTTGATTGATGACTAAAATTACGTGTCTGTAATGTTTGTAAAAGGCATTGCAAGCACCTGCTTATATTTACAATTCATTATCATATATCAAGTATAAATTTCTGAGCTGCATTTTTTGTACATCTTTTACATTACTTGTAAGATAAGCGCGTGTTCAGATGAGGAGAGAGAGAGAGAGAGATAGAGAGAGAGAAAAAAATGAGAGAAACGGATGTATCTAAACTGTCGACATTTAATTGTCAATATTTAATTTTACGATTATTGTATGTCTAAGCGGATGTAGAACCGGATCTATCGTCGCATTAATGTTTGATTTGACGATTGTTAATCGTAAGGTTCTGAATCTCTTCGTTCTTGATTCGTCCACACGACGAAGTCCGGAAACGCGGTAAATGTCAATTAAGCCAGTTTGTCTGAAAAGACGCTTCGTCAGACAAAGCAAGGTTAATCATCGTAACCGATTATTTCCCTCGTGTTTGCCCGGCCAGATTTAAAAACTGTCATCGAACACGGGCACATCATACGGATCGCTGCGTCTTTCGTCGTCGCTTGCTTACAAACTCGCGAGGTGGGAGGCGGAAGAGCGGCAATTTTCAGTTACGTCGCGGAATTTTCCAAATTCGCGTAATTTCGTGACGATTCGACATAAATTCTCCCGGAGAGAATTCGTGAAACCAGAGGTGCCGTGACGCAAGCCGGGAATAATAGCCATTCGTCGAGAATTGTCAGGAAACGTGCGCATTAATGATACATACACACGCGAATCGCGTGGATACAGAGCGACGAAAAAGTACCCCGAGGTAGTATTTCTAGATTTTTCAACCGTTGTGTGGAAAGAAAGAAACGACATCGAGCGTTTTTAGCTGTCCTCGTGTGAAAGTTTCCACGGAAATTGCTCTTTCCTTCTTGACGCGTAATCGCGTAAAACGCGCAGCTCGAATTAGGATCTGGGCCTCTATGAAAAAGACCCTCCCGACTTTCGTTTCGCACGCTTTAACTCGCGACTGTTCGTAGTTTCTCAGTTTAATTTTCAAGACGGTGATTAATTCGCTAAAATATTCTCTCTCTTTTTATAAATAATTATTTTATATTAATATTTGTAAACAAAAAGGATTTCCTTTTCGAATTATTTTATTATAGAGAGCTCTTTGTTTTTTTTAAAATTAATTTATTGTGCATCGAGTGTATAAATTATTACATTGTAATGCACATTGCGTTATACTACATTGTAAACAAAATTATTTCTTTATAAGTCATTATAATTACAATTATATATAAGGTTCCTTTTTTTAAATTATTTTATTACGAGAAGTCTCTGTTTTTTTTCTTCTTATTTTATTCCACAATTATACATCGTGCTTATGAATTCTTATATATTATAAAGAAATTTATCTCTTTATAAATAATTATAATTATAATTATATGTATAAATAGGGATCTTCTGTTGTAATTAATTTTATTACAAAGTATGTATTAATTTTACTACAAAGAACTCTCTGTTTTTTTCTAATTATGTTATTATAAACGTAGTGTTTATAAATTCTATTATATTATATTGCAATTTCGAGAGATAACAGTGCGTTATAAAATAACTTTTTCTCTTTATGAATCATTATCTTGTAATTATATTTATAAATGGAAAGAATTTCCAATTATTTTTTCCTAATTATTTTATCACATAGAGCTCTCTATCTAATTATTTTACCCCAATTACAAATCGCGCTTAAAAACTGTTTTAACGCAAATTGATAAAATATTACAGTGCGTTGTAAAAAAATTCGAGGTAAAATAAAATATCCCTTTTTTCTGATGACAGATTTTCTGATTTTAGATCTCGCCTTCATCTCCCCGATGATCATCGAAAGCCGCAAATTTGAAATCGGAGCGAGCCTCGCGCGTTCTTCCGCGCCAAACTTCGCCGCGGGCGACGGGCCCTCCCCACCACCTCGGCGCGGTTGGGGAGGGGAGGGGCGCGGTGGCGCCATGTTGGGTCCGCGAGCGGCGCGCATCAGTCGCCCGATGACTGCGACCGCGTCAACGTCGTCATGCACGAGCCATGAATTGAAGCCGCGTTCGCTCGTGTCGCGCGTCCTTTTGTGTTTTTTATCTTTTTTTTTTAATTTATTCCCCGTGTCCGTACCTGTCGCTCGCGGAGCCGCATTGGGGACTCCCCGGCGGAAGTGAAGATCGGGAACAAGTCCCGCTCGCCGATCTTGATAATTTCTAATCAAATACAATCGCGTGCCGAGAAAGTGTGCGCGTGTGCCTGGTGACTCTTCACTCGTCCTCCACCTCTGACAGACGAGAAGAACGGTGAAAGAAAAAAGGAGAGCGAGAGCGAGAGAGCCAGACAGCAAGAAAGAGACAGAGAGAGAGAGAGAGGGAGAGACAACCGGCGTGCGATGGCTGTGCGGCCTCGGCGCGTCGTCGACTCCTCCTCCGGTGGTGAACGCGCTTCCGGAAGTGTCGAGGACTCGACCGGGACCTCGTCCACCGTGCGATGGACCGCCAGGACTGCGCTCATCCTCGTCGTCTTCCTCGGCGCCGTCACCGACGTCACCGCCATCAGATCGGGTGAGTAGAACCTCCATCTCTTTTTATCCGCTTTCGCCGATCCGGGGAAAGTCATCCGCGGATCATTTTCGAAGTACCTGTCGCGAATTCGTCTCTACCTCGCGGCGATCTCTCTTCTGAAGGTAGCCGCGAAAAAGCGCGCAAAAAATAGCAAAGGGATCTCTCGTCGTATTTTTCGCGAACGTCGATTGTATGAAGAAATTTTTGCCCGAGCATCAGTCGTCTGTATTTTTCTCGCTTGTGTCGAAATTGTTTGTTTACACTTTCTTGCCCCTCGAGCATTTTTTTTTTGTATTAGGAATGTTTATTTCGCACTTTTTTCATCGATCGTCTTTTACATTAAACGCGTTTTACTTGTGATAACGATATTTACTCGGATATAATGATATTTGTTATTATAAATTATATGCTTATATATCGATGAATTTGAAAATTTAAAAAAAATATATTCACACACTCGAATTTGTTTGAAAATAAAAATTTGAAAAATTTAATCGATATATAAAGGGTTTAAATCTTGATGAAAATTAGGGGAATCCTTCGTATGATCGAGCATATCTTATCCATTGGATTTGACCTACTAGTGACGATCAAAATGATAAAAATAGTAGGTGCAACTTCATCTCTCGTATTTTAACTCCGAAGTCTTTTGACTGAAGATTTTCGTAACCTAAAGTGCACTCGGCTCACGGAATTTTATTTGCCACGTATGCAATAATAATTACGTGGCAACGACTGTTCGGGGTATTTTAGATAATTAAATTTATTAAATTTGTCCATTATAATGATTCCCCTATTATGATGATTCAAGAACCGCACTTTTCTATGTTGGACTTTCTAAATCGGATTTTTTACTGATTATTTAAGCCTTCTAGTATTAATTCATTTTAATGACAGGGATTGAGAAATTTATTATCAAAATTATATTTTTTAATGACATTTATATAACTTACTTCTCAATCAATAATTTGAATATATTCTTATTTTAAAAAGAATTTTAAAAAAATATATACATATATATAGAATAAATATCTCTCATTTACAACGCTTTTGTTTGATTTTTCGATTAATTAGAAATCATTAAAATATAAATTTAGAAAACCAATATTTATATATTTGTTACGAAAAGAGTCAGGCAAATATTATCTTGTTTGGAAGATCGGATTTACTATTTGATGGAATGAAAAAATAAGCATGGCCGATTTCCTCTTCTTTTTTTTCGTAAATCAATAAAATATAAATTTAGAAAATCAATATTTATGTATTTATTATGAAAGGAGTCAGAGAAAAAGAGGCAAATATTATCTTGTTTGGAAGATTCGATTTATTATTTGACGGAATGAAAGATCAGGCATGGCCGGTTTCTTCTTCTTTTTTTTTCGTATTTTGAATATCGTCACTATTTGCTGTTATCATAGTGTAAACTGTTACGTTTATTATTTCCGATATTCGTGTGGGAGGGGGAGAAATAGGCGAGATAAATTGGAACCGGTTTAACGCGAAGGAGAAAGAGTAGGAGGGAGGGAGGGTGGGAGACTCCTGGAACGAAAATTTTTTTAGTGCGCCCGCAGATCGAATATTTTTGGTCGGTTCTCGATTTTGTACAGTTTTCCTATTTTTCTCATCAAACATTCCTCTCGACATGCATGCATATCAAGTCGCGAGAAGAAAACCGGTTTTATCTCAGAGACACTCTAGAAAAAGTGTGACAACGTTCGTGTCTAGGTTTTGCGTCGGGGAACCCAAAGGATACCTTTGAAGAATCCTTTCCGATAACGAGATGCGCTCACGTCGCGTTTCTAATGACTCTTCATAAATCATTGACATTGTGAACTTCATTAACGCAGAGTTCGAAGATATATAAATGCAAAATATATAAATGTGTGCGAAGACTTGCAAACTTATCCGCAAGAAGTACCATAATTGACTCGGACTTTTTTTGTCAGAAAAAAAAACGCGGAGATGAAGAATTCAAAAACAAGATAACTTTGTTTTATATACATATATTTATGTATATTTTTTATATATATATGTATATGCGTACGCAATATTTGCAACATGAAAAAGCTTCAATTTTTTCATTTTTCACTATGACAAAATTAATGTCTATATTTGCTGTATTTTTTTTTATTTTAAAGAGACGTAAAAATGCAAAAGCGAATAGTATAAAAATGTATCTAAAAGTTTGTAAAAGATTTATGAATGTATATCGATGTGCATTAAAAGCTTTGCAACGCTAGTTTCTAACAGCATTAATTTTGTTTATCAATCACAAATAATCGCTCATTTATTTCTCATACAAAAGTTCAAAATTTAACTCAATCTTAACACTCTATTTTTGATCATGGACTAAGTTATTTTGCAACCTTTATGCAATCATTCCATGAGTGATATTAAGTATGCAATCTTTTTTATTGTCTATGCACGTAGACATATACATATACATATTTAAATACATATACATATTTAAATGCATACATTCATATTTGACGCGTATGAGACATGCAATCTTCAAGATAGCACCGACAGTATCAGAGGGTAAATATCAATATTGTCGATTGACTAAATTAAATTCTCTGACCTTTCACGATAAACTCAATCTGGAGTGCGTCGGTCATTTAAAATGTTATCAATTCGGTAAATTTTTCTGCAGTAACAGATGGATTTTATAAAAAAATTTTTTATTTATATATCCTTTTGAAGGATTCTCTCTCTTTTCTCCTTTTATAATAAAATTTCTCCGTTAGATTTGTCATTAAATCTTTCTTTTATTTATTTTATTAGTTTATTATTTTTATTAATATTTTATTTTATTATTATTTTTATTTTGTAATTTTATTTTATTAGTTTATTATTTTTATTAGTATTTAATTTTATTATGTTATTATTTTTATTTTGTAATTTTATTTTATTATTTTTTTATTCTTTATTAAACACAAATTATTCTTTATTAAATACAAATAATTTATTTTAAAATTTCATGTAGAATCTCGACTTTTTTGATATATCTTCTCATAAGAATTCCATTATAAAAAATAGCAAAGATAGTCACTTGTTAGCTTTACTTAATGATTAATGTCTTTTTATCTGAAAAAAGATGCAAATGGAAAAGTGCTCTGATATGGAAAAGTGCTATTATCTCTGAAATGGATTATCCCTGATATTATCTCTGAAAAGGAAAAGTAAATTTTATTGTTCGAGATATCGCGTTTCCAGAAAGTGGACAGGTTACATCTTTCGAAGATTATCGCTAAAAGCATCTCTCGATCAAAAGCTCAGGCATGCTCGTAGCAAGCTACGAGAGGGAACAAGTGGGACGAATCGAATCAGTGGGTCGACGAAACGACCTTCGTACTCGAGAGCGAGCCGCGAGTCTGCAAGCTCTGATTCCTGCAACGCGCGCAGAAGACGAGAAAGTCTTCTTTCCCCGAGGAGTCGGTAGTTCTTTAACGTGTTCAGAGTCGATCTCTCCTTATATCGACGAAATAATCGAGTGGGAAATTTTTTCGAAATTTCTCAATCTCGCGTTAGTTGCTGTTAAATGTCATCTATCTTCATTTTTAAATAAACCAGGTATAGATAATATTTTTTTTATTTATTTTTATTTTTTTTATAAAATATGGAAAATTGTCTGTGGATGGATTAATTTCCAATGACCCGTCTTTTTCTTATTGGAATTTTCAAACTCGAGATTTATTGTCGATATCATGGAGAGAACGATATGAGGGAAGAAGTCTTGCCTATCACTCGGATTTCGAAAGTGTTAGTTTGAAAATTTAACGTAACGATTTCACCAAAATTTTCCTCGGAAAATCTCACGTCGTTCATACGAAACGGCAGCATTTTTTTGCGGTCGAAGGAAACGACGTTTCCTGAATACGAAATCGAATAGCGGCATCGGCGGAAACTCACGAAGTCACGATCGGCGGATAGTCACAACGGTGTGGTCGGTTGAACTCCAACTCTCGTAAGAATCAACGTGAAACGAGAGAGAGAGAGAGAGAGAGAGAGAGAGAGAGAGAGAGAGAAGAAATTACAACGAACGTTACACGAGAAAAATTAACGACAATTAACGACCTCCCGCGAAATGTTTACGAGGGATAAGCTTCACGTTTGCGAATCGTATTTATAGAAAATGCACAATTTTTAATTTCAGTTTCTACCTTTCTATCTGTTTGACATTTAAGCAGCTTGTAGTGATTATATTTACGCCCATCAGGGCGTTGCTTATCATTGAGGAGTTAGATTTACCGTCTCAATTATTACGATATTGAAGAATGTCATGAAAGTGTATGTGACTGTCAAGTATATATTTGTTAAAATATTTATTTACGTATTTATTTATGTATATGTACAGGGTGTCAGGGCAATCTCTTTCCCAAAAAAAGCTCTGATAGCTTTCCTCGAGAGCTTTCTAAAACACTATAATAAAGTATTTTTTCATCGAGTACTTTTCGAGTTATGAGGCTTGAAATAATATCTTAATTTTACATAAACCGTAAAATATCTAGTAAAATATTTAATTTTCGATTATTCTACTTTAATACTTTTATGTACAAAATAATGAGAGAAATCAATTGGTGTAAAGGAAAAACACAGTTGTTTTTAAGAAAAAATATGGAATTGTTAATTGCAAATTACATATTTTTTCTTCGAAACAATTATGTGTTTTCTTTACACCAATTGATTTCTTTTATTATTTTACTCATAAAAATACCAAGGCAAAATAATCGAAAAATGAATATTTTACAAGATATTTTATGATTTATGTAAAATTAAGAGATTATTTCAAGCCTCATAACTCGAAAAGTATTCGATGGAAAAAATATTTTATTAGTGTTTTGAAAAAGCTCTCGAGCTAAGCTACAAGAGCTTTTTTTTTAGAAGAGATTGTCCTGATACCCTGTATATATATCAAGCTGTCTTTAAATTAGAACATCTGGCGTAACTTATTCAGACTGCTTCTCTCTCTCACACACTTTTTGGTGTGAAAAAAAAAT